CCATTATTTTAGGCTTGCCGTTTTTTTATTACCCTCTGATGGGGTTATATAGATGTCTCCGAAAGATAAGAAAAATAAATTACATCATTAAAAAATAAATAAAGCAGTCGGTGGTGCGTACTGGGTTGTTGCAGATCTTTTTCCATATGCGTATTCCAGTGGCTTCTTCAGAAAAGTGGGAACATGCATGATGAAAGTTTTCTTTCTCAAAAGTTGATGGCATCTTCTGCTTTGGTGGTCGACAAAAGCAAAGGTATAATCCTGGCTTTTTCCTTTATGTATTCATTTTCTTCCCTTTTTCTTTTTTTGCTGACCGAACACTAGCTGGTGTACTCCAGCTGTAAAAACAATGAAATGGGGCCTCTCAGCTTCAATCATCTTTCTCAGGAAGTGGGTGATCACTCATATATTTCATGCATTTATACCATCAATTTCTAAAGTCTTTGTGATGTTTTTGTGTTAAAATTGTGGCATTTTACCTTACCTTGTGTTAATGTGCAGTTAATTTTGTTTTAGGATCAATGTCAAGCAAAATGGAGAAAAGAAATAAAAAAAAACTGAAAAGAAAATAAAAGAAAAGAAAGGAAGTGGAGTGCGCAAAAGCAGTGGGGGAGACACTGAGCAACAAAAAATAAATGGGACAGAAAGGAAGACACTGAGCAGAAAACAAAGAGAGTGGAGGACAAACTGAAATAAAATAGGCAGGGAGTGGAGAGACTGACGGGGATGGCAGAAAGAAAAGAAAACAGAAATAAAATAAGAAAAGAAGAGAAGCAGTGGGAAGGAAGTGGAGTGCACACTGACAAAAAGAATAAAAGAAGAAGAGACGGAAGGCAGAGCGGTACTGTGCGGAGAAAGAAAAATCCCAGAAAAACAGAAGAGAGCAAGAGGCACGGCAGAGAGCAAGGAAGGAAAGAAGAAGAAGCTTCACTCTGTTTTTCTTGGTTTTATCTTCTCAAACCCATGTTTTACTTTTGGTTTAATTTGAGAATTATGTGTAACTAAATTTTAAGTAGTTAGGGGCTGTTTTGAAGTCCCGAATATGATTGCAAGTTTGTTATGACATTTCATTGAATTGCTTTTATGAATGGATGAAAATTGGTTTACTACTTATGTCAGTGATGAATTCTTTATATGTTTTCTATGGATGCATACTTAGTAAGCATATTTAGGATTCAAATGCTATGAATATATGTATGCCTACCCTTGTTGAATGAGGACCTACATATGTTCTAGAGTAGTACTTGTTAATTGCAATTAACATGTGAACCAATTTCTAGGATAAGTAAGACAATGCCAGTACTTACCATGCCTTGTGATGACTCAAACTCTTTTCGTTCTTAATGATTTCTACTTGTTAAATCTATGAACACGCCATTCTAGATTGCATGCTAGGGACTACGTTAAGTTGAAAACGCCATTCTCTTAACATACTACGTAAGAAAGAGTAATAGGTTGTGTTCTAACATTGAGCCAACTTGAGCATCTTCATCCGGAAATAAAAGAAATTTGAATGAAGCATAACATGTTTGCATGATTATTTGGTGGTGGATAACAATTCCCCTAACTCGTTTTTCTCAAACTTGTGATCTACTCAAAATCTGTTTCTGTACTGTTTTTGTACGATTTAATTTAAATAGAAAATCAACTCCAAAAATCCCAAAAATTTGTGAGACTGTCGTATTGTGTGTCTAGTATTTGGATATAAAATTTCATAGACTTTAGACCAGTGTAAGTCAGTCTAATAATTATTTTTTGGTGGCTGGTCAGTAGGGACATCAACTAGTTTTTGTGACATTTTAAGTAGTTAGATAAAACAATCTTCTACGGGAAAGACCCTTATTTTCATATGCTACAATTGACAAATCCTAGTGTTAATAAGGAAAATTAATAGGATATTTGTGTGCTACTTTGTGGTGTGCATTTAATCCTATCAGTGGGAGGTGTTGAGATCAGAACACCAGTCAAACTCGAAGTCCAACATATCTCGGCAGCAAGTCAACCTTCCATTCCCGTAATGCATATCAGCCACTTGCAGGATTTTGAAGGTTCCGTCGGACCAGAAACGAAGGGGAAGATCTGGGCTGGTTTTTCTTACTCTGACAGGCTGATGGCCGATTAGCAAATTGTGAGATATTTGGGTGTGAAAAAAGTAGATGACTGAGCAGAGGAAAGATAAATACAGGACCGAGTGTTTCCAGTTTGCTGCCGAGGACGACGATTCCACTGAAGAGTCAACATCTTCTGACAGCGTCTGGTATTTCCAGTTTGCTGCCGAGGACGGCGATTCCATTGAAAAGTCAACGTCTTCGGACAACGTCGGGTGTGTGGGCTGTAGGATGGCGAGGTTCGTACGACCGGATAGCGGCAGTTTGGGCCGCTGAGGCCGCTGAGGCTTGCTCATGGTTGATTAAATGAGCTTAATTGGGGAATTAAGACAAGCAGTAGAGTAGTGGGATCTTTGAGAGAGAGAGTTATGAAAGAGATTTGGAGCTTTTCTGTTTCTGGGTTTTTGTGTGGATTTTGCAGATTCACCGTGGAGTGTGGTGAGGTTTTCACGGTGGTGAGATGAAAAATTAAGAGAGAACCGACATAGCTTTTTGTGTCGTTTCCCACAGACGGCGCCAAATGTTGATGCACAAAACCGGAGGTCTTGGAACAACGTAAATCCGACCGTGAATATGCAAGAAATGTAAATAACACAAGATGTATCGTGGTTCACCCCAATGTTTGGGCTACGTCCACACTGATATTGTATTTCTCTTAGTGGATTGTGAGGGAGAGAGAGCCTCTGAATAGGAGAGTGAGGCTTCTGAGGGTAGGAGTCAGGCATAAGAGTTGGCCTCCCTTAATGAGGAGAGTGAGGAGTCCTTTTATAGAATAAGGGCTCCTCACTTATTACATATTTGCCCCTTCATTTATTACATAATTACATTTAAGTCCCCTGAGTATTTATACGAGGTCTAAATACGGAGGCCCTAAGTATGGTATAAACAATGGGTATAACCGTTTATCCATGAAATTTAAATGGGCGGTTATGGTTATTACTTGCGGTTATAACGGGTATCCATCGATTATGGGTATTACTTGCAATTATAATGGGTATTCATTTACCCATTTAATTTAATAATGTAAAATTTTGGAGCTTTGAATTTTCTGCGATTATAACGGGTATCCATTTACAAAATAATCGGTGCACACATGATTATTGTGTGTTTGGACTAATGAAATGAAATGGTTTTCTTAAATCATGTTTCAATTGCCATTGATGCTATTAGAAACGGGGAATGAAATGGTTATTGTGTGTTTACAAATCATGTTTTAGCTTCTGAAAATGCTTATAAGGGAGTACTAACTGATCTTCCAGAGCCTGAAGGTGGCGGTTATAATGGGTATCCATTGGAATATTTTGGAGCTTTGAATCATCTAGTATTCAAGATAATGACTACTTTTTGTTTTTAGAAGCTTTACTTTGTAATCATATGGATTATAATTAAAAACTTGCTTGGGTGTAGCAAAAAATATCGTTCGTAAACTATTATTTCAATTATTGGAATTGTATGAGGACTTAAATGATTAAAATAGGGAAATACATGCTAAAATATACCTATAATGGTGTTTAATTGGCAGAAAACGCAAATTATGACAAATTTTTCTTTTGTAATTTTCAAGTTGTTAAAAAAAAAGGGTAAATGGGTTCAAAAACGGGTAAACGGGTAATGGTTATGGTTAAATGGGTAAACGGTTATGGTTAAATGGGTATACGGTTATGGGTATGGTGGTAATAGTGTAATTTTGGAGTACTGGGCGTATTTTTGATCACCTGGTTGGTGGTAATAGCGGCAGGCTGCCGAATAATTTTGGAGTACTAGGCGTACTTTTAATCACCTGGTTGGTGATAATAGAGGGCCTGGCTCTTTTGGGCATATGGGCCTTCGCCCTTCACACAACATTCCAGCCCATTTATTTTGGGCTTTGCCCTTTTTTTATGATTTTTTTTATTTTTTTATTACCCTCTGATGAGGTTTATACAGATGTCTCCGAAAGATAAGAAAAATAAATTACATCATTCAAAAATAAATCCGACCCTCTGCTCAATGGGTCACGCCCATAATGTCATCACCACCGCAATTATGTTTGCATTTTTTTTTTAATTTTTTAATTTTTTTAATTTTTTTTTTAAATTTTTTATCTTCTTTTGCTTTCTGCTTTTGCTTTTGTTTTTCTGCTTTTCTTGATCTCCCTGCTCCTTGCTTTTGCTTTCTGTATTCCTTTTCTCTTTTCCCTTTTGCATATGGCAGACAAGGATTGATAATAGAGTTAATAATAAGAAAAGAATCTTATCTTCTTCATGTTTGTTCATCATTGCCTTAGCAGTGCAACTGTGAGCAGTCACCTCAGCCAAAGTATAAACCTTTTAGTCTGTCGGTGAAGAGGATGGGCATTCCGCAGGGCATCCGACGCGACCCGCACCTAGTCCTCGACGGGGTGAGTCTCGATGGTCATGGGAGTGAAGACGAAGAGATTGGTAAGATTGAAAGTAGAGGCAGAGAGCAAAAAGCCGAGCTGGTACTTGTCGGCAACAGAGGAAGAGCTTCACGGATGCAAATACCCAAACGACCCAGCTGATACTGCAAGGCATATCCCCACTATCGTGAAGTACGCTGGAAACATCTTGCTTCTGAAGATTCCCGAACTGATGCCGCGGAAGATTCTTGAACATGATGATGCCGCCTATGAAGGTGGCCCAGAGAGCGGCGCCGAATGTGGTGGAGAAACAGAGCAGATGTGCCAACTTTAGGTAGGTGGAGAGGGTGGGCGATTTCAGACCATCCGATTTTGACCCAAAGGTCTTCGGGGAGAATATCACTCCGATGGCCAAGAAAGCCACGACTACTTTCTTTTTCTCACTATTTTCTCGCTCTAAACCCGCCGCAGAGGCCTAGGAAAGAACTGGCTAACTCTCTGGAAGCTCTGGAAGACACTGAGTCTAGTAATTTTTAGAGTGGTGCTCGCCCTTTATGACGCCCTAAGCTCATACGATCCTTAACTTCCATTGCACTGAACCTAAATCCTGAGTCCCTTTCCACTACAACAACAAGCAGGTCAGGAGAAGCTACCGCACCCGTAATGCAGTAACCCAATCCAACCCCCGTTGTTCCCCAAGTCCTTGCATCCAACCTGGTCCTCGGCTCGGTCTGAACCAACACATACCGACCCACATCTATAGTGTTAGCCCTTTTGGAAACCAATATAGGAACAGGGCTCCCCAACCCTGCAATTGCATCTCTAATAATCTTCATTGGCGTCAAGAAATTAAATGGCACAACTTCCTTAGCCAACTGAGCCTCGATTTTCGAAACATTGTCCTTCACCTTACTTGAAATCGCTGCAACCCACAGATGAGACTTCCCCAAACAAAAAGGGTCATCCTTGATCCCCAAATTGATCTTCTCCAGCACCAACTTTGCATCTCAAACCAAACCCAAATATGGTTTTCGAAGCTCAATCTCTTCCTTACTAACATTAACCAAAATGAACTTCACATCCTTGGACCACTTAGGCGGCTCACCAAAGTGCAAAAGCCAGTTAAGCCTTGCGCCAACGACAAGCGCCACGTCATATTTCCCGATCGCCAGAGACCTTGCTACGGTCGCCGCTAGCTCATGAGTGTCCAGCAACGGCCCCTTCCCCATTGAAGTGGGCAAAAATGGGATTCCGAACATGCGGTCGATGCCGAACCGAGCAAGGGCCTTGGCGATCAGCTAGTTGCCATCGAGTGCAGTTGTGGTTGATTCACCCATTGGAGACTGCAACAAAGAGAGCAAAGCCATGGGTAATGGCAACGGCCACTACCCCAGCAAGATCAAGTGTAGCATCGGATGTCAACTTGTTGTAAGCTATGGCTGAACCAACTATCTCTTGCCGTCTGGGGGACTAATTGAGAGAGTTTGAGAGACTTTTTGAGGTTTTCTTTTTGTTTTGGTTTCTGTGTATGATTGACCGAGAGAGGAGAAAGAGAGAGATCTGGTTTCTTGGGTTTTTGCAGATTTTGCAATGTTTGATTTTTCAGATTTGGCAGATTCACTGTGGACGTGAAAAAATGAAAGAGAACCGACATAGTTTTTCGTGTCGATTCCCACAGATGGCGCCAAATGTTGATGCACAAAACCGGAGGTCTTAGAACAATGTAAATCCGACCGTGAATCTGCAAGAAATGTAAATAAAATAAGATGTATCGTGGTTCACCCCAATATTTGGGCTACGTCCACATTGATATTGTATTTCTGAGAGGATTGTGAGGGAGAGAGTGTGAGGATCCTCATGGCCTAGGAATTGGCCTCTCCTAATAAAGAGGGTGAGGAATCCTTTTATAGAATAAGGGCTCCTCACTTATTACATATTTGCCCCTCCATTTATTATATAATTACACTTGAGTCCTCGAGTATTTATACGAGATCTAAATACGGAGGCTCTAAGTATGGTACAAACATATGTTTTATAGATTTCTATAATTATGGTTTACGAAATATTTATGATTTATCGAATTTACATTTTATTAAAAGTTATGAATTATTGGATTCTCGTATATACAAGTTTATGGCTTTCAAATATGCTTTATTTTACGGATTTATGAATATGTGAATTATCATGATTTATGAGATGGATTTTTAAGCCTTTGAGCTTGGGTACTATACTATATGACGTCTATAGCCATACACACATCACGGGTATGACGTTTTAGAAATTTTTTCGATGCTTATCTAGTGGGTTATCATACGGCATATACACACACCATGGGTATGACGTCTATGACCATAAGACACAGTGGAGGAGTAGTGAGATATATATACCCCTAGCTTCATCGTCGAAAGTGGTGTCGGACAGCTTCACTATGAAGGAAAAATTTTGTCCTAGCTAAGAACATGTGAGAATATTTGAACACATATGCAAAATATTAACACATTAAAGTAGGCATGCATTCAAAAACAATTCTAAAACCCATGACTTTCAAAGCCTAGTGAATGGTGAACCATGAGACTCTTTAACAATATTAAAGAGAAGGTAGGATTTAAAGATTGATTACCCTTGAAGCTCATCCTTGTTTACACAAGGGATTCACCCAAGTGGAGGGCCTTCAAGTAACCTCCTAGCTCCTTGGATCTTCCTTGTGATTTTCTTCCTTTTGATGCTCCTTTGCTCCTTGAGGATGTGAGGAAAGGATCTCCAAAAACCAAAGGTTTGGTGTCTCTAAGTCTCCACACCAAGGATGAGGTGTGAAGATGAAATGGATGACTTAGAGAAGAAAAGATTGCTAGCTAAATCCTCTCTAAGTGGCCGGCCTCCTTGTTGAGAAAAAGAGAGAAAATGTTTCACCTCTTTGCCTCAAGAAAAACCCTTGTGAGAAAATAGCTATAAAGTTAACTTTATACTACATCACATTTGAGTGGCAAACTTGTAATTAATTCAAGTTTGCATCCACTCTCCCTTATGGCTGGCCTTGTCTTTGTTATTGGGCTAATTGCCCATTTTGTTTTAGTTGTCATACAACTTAAACATAATGGGCTTTGTGGACCAAAACACTTTTGGGCCCCGAAACCCAAAACCAACTTAAAAGCCCAATACGAACCTTTCGTAAAATTAATTAACTAATTAATTAATCTTGATCATTTTCAATTAAACCATTTAATTGCATAACCATTTCATTTATTTTTCTTCACTTTCATCCTTACTCGGTGTACGATCCATTAGGTTCTAATTAGCAAGGCAGTGGGAGATTGTTACTCTTAACGATCGATTATGAATTGAAACTACATTTCAATTCTCCCTTTGATTAAGATTAGTGTTTGCTAATCTTCAGGGCTTCCACAAACCATGAGTGACACCTAGCAGCATGTCATGGTTACCCAAGCTAAGTAGAAGTGGTTGGAGAACCTATCCAGTTACAACTACAACGCAATACGGTCATTCTCTAATACAATAGTCTTAATCACATTGTTTGAGTGATAGTTCGTTTCATGTCTACTATCCAATGTGATACTTCTCTATATGATTCAATTGAATATGATTTGGAACAAACTTCCTAAGTCATATTCATATGCTTTGGCCAAAGACTCTCGAATCATATCTTGGAGTATTCTCCTTCCACCATGGAAGGTTAGAGATCCCTTGTTGTGCATTCATATGCCTACATGACTAGATAGCTTGACCCCAACAATACCGTGGACACTCTCGATGGAATGCCTTTGACATGATCAAAGATCAAGGACCTAACCATTAGACATCTATGATGCCTCAGGTCAAATGACTACTTTGCATATTGCAACTTACGAGTTCTTACATGACATGTATGTTTAAGCTTTCTTTTGATCGTTGTTCAGTGTACTTGATTACTCTTTCAAGCATCTATGTGTTTGTCTTAGTGTCCAACACTAAATGACTTGAGACTAGTCATACTCATGCTTGAGTTGACATAACACATACTAACCTTAGCGGATTGTCAATGCCCAATTGGCAATCCTATGGCTAGGAACGTTTTAGGAATGAACATAAAAAAAGAAAGGTCTCGTTAATCTAACTTACTTAAATCACTTCTCTCTTAGATCAAATACATTCATTGGATTCCCTTATTGCTTAAACACATGATACAATAAATAGCGATTAACAATAAGCTTTGCCCTTCATTAAACATATAATAGTTTAATACAATAAGTATTCCAAAAGCTATTACATCAAATGAGTGGCTTTGTGGGCATACTTCCAACAATCTCCCACTTGCACTCAAAGCCACCTTCCCATGTATCTAATACCCATCTTTTCCATATGACGGTCAAGTTGGATTTGAGACATTGGCTTTGTCAGTGGATTTGCTATGTTATCTACTGAGGCAACTTTGAGGATGTTGACTTTCCCCTCGGCAGCATATCTTCTAATGATATTAAAGCGCCTGTCAAAATGCTTGTTCTTTTGATGAGCCCTGGGTTCCTTGGCTTGAGCTATCGCCCCACTATTATCACAGTACAAAGTTACTGGTGATGTAATGGTTGGAACCACTCCAAGTTCAGTAATGAACTTCTTCATCCAGAACGCTTCTTTGCTGGCTTCAGCTGCAGCGACATATTCTGCCTCCGTTGTGGAATCAGCAATTACATCTTGCTTATTGCTTTTCCAGCTAACAGCCCTACCATTCAGAGTGAATACATATCCGGAGTTGGAACTTCTATCATCGACGTCAGATTTCCAATCTGCGTCTGTATAGGCTTCCACTCGCAACTCTGTCGCTCTTCCATAAACGAGGAACATGTCCTTAGTTCTTCTTAAGTACTTAAGGACTGTCTTGACAGCTGCCCAGTGTTCTGATCCTGGGTTAGATTGATATCGACTAGTAATGCTCACATCATATGCGATATCAGGCCTTGTGCATATCATGGCATACATGAGACTTCCTATGACGGAAGCATAAGGAATAGCACTCATCTGCCGTATATCTTCAGGAGTTTTAGGTCCCATGGACTTAGAAAGGTGAATTCCATGTCTTACAGGAAGAAGACCTTTCTTAGATTGTTCCATCTGGAACCTACTTAGCACCTTATCTATGTACATAGATTGAGATAATCCAATTAATTTTCTAGATCTATCACAATAGAGCTTTATCCCAAGTACATAAGATGCATCTCCCAAATCTTTCATGTGGAAGGTTTTGGACAACCACACTTTTACAGAACAAAGTACTGTAGTGTCATTCCCGAATAGTAATATGTCATCTACATATAACACTAGGAATACAACTGCATCCCCAACGACTTTTTGATAAACACAATTGTCGTCTTCGTTTTGAGTAAAACCAAACGTTTTGATTTCAGTATCGAAACGAATGTTCCAGCTCCTGGAGGCTTGCTTAAGTCCATAAATGGACCTTTGAAGCTTGCATACCTTAGTCTTTTTAGACTTGGACACGAAACCTTCGGGTTGAGTCATATAGAGCTCTTCCTCTAGGTAGCCGTTCAAAAAGGCCGTCTTCACATCCATTTGCCATATCTCATAATCATGGTACGCAGCTATAGCAAGCAAAATCCGAATGGACTTAATCATGGCTACAGGAGAGAAGGTTTCTTCATAGTCAATCCCTTCTCGTTGCCTGTAACCCTTGGCTACTAGTCTAGCCTTATAAGTCTCCACGTTCCCATCAACGCATATCTTCCTTTTGAAGACCCATTTGTTTCCAACAGGTACTATACCTTCTGGAGGGTCTTCAAGAGTCCAGACCTGATTTTGATACATGGAATCCATCTCGGATTTCATGGCCTCTTGCCATCTCTTTGAATCAATGTCGGACATTGCTTCAGTGTAGTCTCTAGGGTCTTCCTTTGTGTCATTGTCACCTAGAAGGTGCAATTCCCCAAAGTCATTATCTAAGCCATACCACTTAGGTGGCTTGCTAACCCGTTCAGATCTACGTGGAGCTAGGGGTTCAGGAACAGGGTTGTCAACTTGTCGAGTGCTTGTTTGTGGTTCATCATTAATCTCATTAATTTCCTTCAATTCTATCTTTCTTTTGCTAGTTCCATTAAGAACGAATTCATCCTCCATGAATATAGCAGTTCTGGCGACAAAGACTTTCTGGTCGTCAGGGTGATAGAATTCGTATCCATAGGTTTGTTTAGGATACCCCACAAAATAGCATTTAACAGATCTT